TTATTTGGACCGTGCTCCAGCACTCCGCACAGTAAAGAAATGGTTCGCGAAATTTCGTTCTGGAGATTTTAACCTCGATGATCAACCTCGCAGTAGACGGCCTTCTGAGCTTGATTACGATTTTCTAAGGACTTTAGTTGCGAATAACTCACGTATTTCGACGGAAAAGGTTGCCAGTGTCAACAAATCAACTGAGTTTCGTCGTTTAAAAAAGGTTTGGTACACTTTGAAGCTCGATACATGGGTGCCACAAGTATTGTCAGCAATTGGTCGAATTGAAGAAAGCGATTGATGAAAAACGTCCGATTTTGGCCAATCGCAAAGGAGTTCTTTTCCATCATGACAACGCCAGGCCACATGTTGCCAAACTGAAGGAGATGAATTGGGAAATCATGCCGCATCCCCCATATTCACCCGACATTGCACCTTCTGATTATTATTTGTTTCGATCGCTGCAGAACAATTTGAATGGAAAAAAATTTAAAAATGTGGAAGACGTCAAAAACCACCTTAACACCTTTTCAACGAGAAACCGCGCGATTTCTATGAATCAGGCATCCGTAAATTGGTTGAACGTTGGGAGTGCATTGCCGAACATGATGGCGAATACATAATTGATTAATAAAAGCGCTTTCTTCAAAAAATTTCAATTTTAGTTTGCACTTGAAATCGGGCACGAACTTATGCATTCATCCAATATTTACTCAAAGAAAGAAATGCAGAGCCGGTTGCTAAAAAAGTTGCATAATTTGTATGGTGATAAGGCCTTAAAAGTAGCACAGTGCCGAAGTTGGCTTACCAAATTTCATTCGGCAGATTTTTCACTCAAAGATAAGACACATTCACGTCGGCCAAGTGAAGTTGATGATGGCGATACCATGGCTTCAATCGAATCGGATCGTCATGTAAGTTAGCGTTTGATTGGAGAGAAGTTAATTATACCAAAAAAAAACCTTTTTATTTGGGTACCACATGGAAAAAAGATCAAAAGTCCTTTAACAAGCCGCTTAAACGTTTGTGATATGAATATGACCCGTTTTTGCCGCAAGTCATAACTGGAGATTAAAAATAGATTGTCAACAAGATCATGGTCCAAGCATGATGAAGCGCCACAAACCACTACAAAAGTTGATCTTCACCAAAAGACGATTATACTGTCAGTTCGGTGGGATAGGAAGGATGTGGCATGTTTTGAGCTGCTTCCAAGGAACAAACAATTAATTCAGTTGTCTATTGTGAACAATTGGACAAATTGAATACAACCATCAACGAGAAGCGACCATAATTGATCAATCGTAAAGGTGTCATATTACACCAGGACAATGCTAGACCTCACACATCTCTGGTCACTCGCTAAAAACTATGAGAGCTTGGCTGGAAACTGTTGATGCATCCACCATAGAGCTCTGATCTTGCACCGTCAGACTACCATGTCTTTTGATTTGTATAGAACTCATTAAATGGTAAAATTTTCGAACATGAAGAGGCTATAAAATCGTAAATGTTTCACTCTTTTGCAGTTAAAGGCCAAAAATTCTATGAGCTTGGAATAATGATGTTGACGGAAAGGTCATTTAAAATGGAAATTACATAGCTCATTATAAAATTTGAAAGGAAAATGTATTTAATTTTTTTTTTTAATTCGCCGGTATCTTTTGGGACAATCCAATAAAATAGAGAAATACTGTGCACTAAATAAACTTCGAGATTTCGGATTATTTTTTTTTTTTAAACTTAGCAAATTCTTTAGTAAATCATTTGAAAATCATTATTTTAGATTTTATTCTATGACATCATAGTCCATTCCAAGTTATCTTGAGAAGAAGTAGAGCATTACCGTCAACCAGAAACAAATTTTTTTTCCCTTTGCTAAGAAGAATGGAAATCTTTAAACAAAGTATCGCACTACGTTTTACTCTTGACGCAAACAACTTATGTAGACTAACAGTGAAATGCAGTATTGTGTTTTTAAGAAATCTTATACTTTTACAACAACAACATTAGCATTGTTGTGAAACACAACTGAAGAAATGCAAATTTCCTCTCAAAAAGAACAAACAAAAAACAAAAAAACGAAAAGAAAACAAAGAAAAAGTTAGAAGAAATCTTACGCTGCGTAGAGTAGCTAATGTTAATGTTATTGCAGATTCAAGCACAACAACAAATAAACCGTATAATGTATCAACAACTGCAGACATAACAATTGCAATGCGAGAAGTGGTTCGTGTTGTTGAGCGATGCAAAGTTTCAAGTAGAAACACAAATGATGAACACGACTCGTCAGCGTTGTAAGGAGCAATGTTTCATATTATACATATATATTTTTTTTCTAAACTGTTTCCATTAAAATGTTGCACTAAATGCAATACATGCACCTACATACACACATCTGTTTTTCATAGCGTATAACCTCATCGCAGGAGCGTGAAATATTTGCATTTCTTTGTTCGCCAGCTAAAATTTGAGGAGAGTAAAGAGGGGATATAAGAAGGGAGCCACCATGGTAGCTGAGTGGTTAGCATTGCGTACTGTCATTTGGAACATCCATATACAGTTTGTTAGATAAAAAAGTAAGTTACATTTTCTAATTACGGTCGCCTCTCGGCAGGCGAAAAAAGGCTCCTAAAACCACCAGCCATTCGAAGGCGGCTTCGTTCTCGTATATATTGTAGGTCCCTCCATTTGTTGGAAAAAACTTGAAGACGCAAAACCACAAATTGAAGAAGGAGTTCGGCCGAAAATCGCTTCAACGGTTACAAGGCGCCAATTATTTATAGAGTAAATGCAGGTAATGTTTTACACCAGCTTTTCTCGGAAATGTGAAAATAATGGTACCTTGCGAAATAGGTCGTTTTGCTCAGATTTTTAATGAAGCGAGATTTAAAGTGTGATTTGTTAGCGATGCCGATAGTCGGTTGAAATGAAAGTGGTTAGTGGTGCAGTGGACTCTTTTTTGTGCTCGGACAAAACGATTTTTAACAGTAAAATCTTGAGCTCTAAACAATACTGCTATCACCTGCGAACATGCCGAAAAAGGGTGAAAGCGGAGGATATGAAAAACGCCATAGGAAATCATCATTTGTTGTCATCGTCCATCGTCCAGGACGGGAACGATGAGGGACTTGTAGAATTTAATTTTCGTTCATCGAGAGAAGACTTTACTTTTCAATCGCCTACTTAGTCCACCTGTTAGAGAAAGTGATTCTGCTTGTCGTGGGAGTCAAGTCGCGAATGCGATGACTGTTTTTTTTTGTGATAAAAGGAGATATTTCGTGTTGCTCTCGTTCACTACCAGACCCATATCCTTCTCTTCCTTATCCAGTCTGCAGAAAGCGGAACTCGCAGCACGGTTGTTGAGGCCAATAATGTCAATATCATCCGCGTACGCAGCTGCTGCAGTACGTACTCTTTTAGAAGTTTGTACCTTCTCCATTCAGCTCTGCAGGTCGTAATATTTACTCCAGCAATAAGTTAAAAAAGTCACACGATAAGTAATTTTCCTGTCTAAAAACTCGTTTTATATCGAACGGCTCGATGAGATCCTTTTCGATGCTGACGGAGTTTTTATTGTTGCTTAACGTCAGCTACCATAGCCGTAAAAGTAAAGGCAGCTGCGAGCTGTCGAAAGGGGCTTCGAAATCGAAGAAAAGCTCTTTTCACGGGTTCTATCCAAGATTTGGCGCATGGTAAATATCTGGTCAATGGTTGACTTAACAGGTTTAAAGCCACACTGAAAAGGTCCAATATGTTTGTTGACGGTGGGGTCTGGTCTTTCACACAATACGCTCGGCAGGACCTTATATGCGATATTAAGGAGGCTTATTCCAGGATAATTGACGCAGACTGTGGATTGGGCAGCGGCATCTTTCCAATTAAGAGACCGGAAATTCCAGGTGCATGCCTCAAATGGTGATCCCTAATACATTTGCGGGGGTCATCAACAGACAAGCGGTATCTCATCCGAGACGTTGTAATTTTATTCTTTAAAACTGGTTTCTTCACGGTGGGCCACAGCACGCAACCTCTATATGGGAGTGAGTTTAAAGACCAATGCCCGCGTCACAGCCGGGGTGGATCTCATTAGCCCTGACCCAAGGCTCCACATGGGTTGGCATACTAGATCTTGCACAAGAGTTGCTCACGTTTCCAGGGTGCGCGACGTGGACGCAAGAGTAGGGATTGAGTATAGCCTTGCAACTGTAACAGCACACCCAGAAGCTTGACTACACCCCATTATACCCCTTCAAACTTCTTCTAAGTTGGCTACCACCACTTTGGAGTATAAATACAACTTTATATTTAGAACTACGTCTGAACACTTTGTCTTGATTATTGATTATTAGTTGCAATTTATTATTGAAGAGACCAACGTTGCCTGTCAATATAAGAAAAGCCATTCAACAAGTTCTTCGTAAGTCCGTTCGATTTAATATTTTCTATGTTACCTTCTAAATTGTTTATTAAAGATTTCGATTCGTCGAATTATGCTCAAACCATATTTGTGTCGGTGCTAATTCATTGTACTTATTGTATATACTCATATATCATATTATTAGTTATATCCCTTCTATCAAATGCAAATACTGTGTAGGAAAATAATAAAAAAAATAATTACCTCTTATTTCACTTCCAGAGTCTCGGCTTTCCGATGGCATCATTAGTTGCTCACAATCGTACCAACGCTGAGTTGCGTTACTTGGGTGGCAGCACCTGTCCCACAGACAGCCAGTCTGAGCTGAGCTCGAGCATAGAACTTCACTGTGATATGCGCGCCGGTTTGGTAAGTATAATTATTTTCCCTACAGAATACTATTATTGTTTTCCTCTTTTGAAGCATATACTCGTAGCAGTATATACATACATATTGGATTACAACTCACATTGCGTAATGTTGATTAAAAGTTCAGCAATTTGTCGGGATTTCATTAAGTCTGGTTGTTTTTAATTTCACCCGTAATCGCTTTTCACCACAATTAAGTCCACCAACGTGTGCGTTGGTGTTAAGTCAAGCGTTATTTAACTACGCTTAATTTGCGATTTACGGTACATTGTACAGTGGAAACGAACGGCTATTTGGTAATACTAGTTTACGAAACAATATTGTTGGCTATTGCCGGCGAAGCAGGTGACATGTGGAAAGGGTGGGCCACGAAATTGCTGCACTGTAAAATTATTATAAAAAAATAAGCTCTTTATTAAAATGTCTCAACGATTCGGTTGACTTTGCAGTATCCCAAATTTTTCAACATATTTTCGTTTGTGTGCCTAGCTACGAGTATAGTTGCAGTGGCGACTCCATTTTCGGGTTCCAAGTCCTGTGTCGTCTCTACACGCTTGGCGCTGCAGTTGTACTTAAGGGACTCTCTCCTGATATTTGGGAAAAATTAGATACATTTTTTTTTGTGGGAGTACAAAAAACCATACGAACTTCCCGTTTTGACTATTAAATTTATTTATTATTTAAGATTTTAAAACGGCAAAAAAATAGTCAAAATTCAAAATGACGGCCACAAAATGTAACGTTAGACGATTTCTGAGCATGACACAGCAGCGATCAGCATTGACGGGAACTGATGTCAAAGTGAGCTTAATAGGAAGAGAGGGGTTTTCTGTAAAAGTGCTTATATCCTGCCATGTGATCCATAGCCCATTAATCTAGACGAAATCGCATCGGATGGTCATGGGACTTTAGTTTTTAGACCAATTGGTCTCTTGAATCCTTCATATGAAATATACTGCACAACGAAGTGTGGGCAACGTTTAATTCCTGTAAATTGTGTCGAGTTGACGTTGATATGTTGAGATGCTGTAGCAATATATTCAGGGGACGTAATGGACGAACCTGTACGCGATTTGTTTTGTCCAACACCGAATCGATTTGGCGTGCTCGCTGCACAAATTGGTTCAAAAACTGCCTAGAAAACCAGTTATTTCTCCCGATGTTTCTGCGTCATTTTTCTTGCAGTTACAACTGTAAATCACCATTCTGGAAGTGAGTTTTCAATATCTCTCAATTTTCCTCCAGGGTTAACTTAACCACTTTGTAAATTGTGAACTTCGCACTGAATACCTGGCACGACGGAAACGCCATTGAGCATGTTAAAGGTCTAACAAGACTTGGAAGCAAACAGTAGATGGCCCAGCCTTTGTGTCACTTTACACTGAAGGAGTTGAGAATTTTTTCCAGCTAATAAAAGAAATTGTTGGCTGGAATTTTTTTTTGGGGCAAGTAGGGTTTCAAAACATACTTTTAAACACTGGCCAAAGGGCAGGGACCATTTCTCGTAAAAGAAGTGGATCAACCCATTAGTTTCCAAGCAGTACGCTATATATAATTATTGAAGGAATCCAAAGGAAAAAAAGACAAGAGAACTTCGGTCTCGAACCGTCGGAAGGCCAGAGTTCGAGTGCTGGTCCGACTAACATTATAAAAAAAACCAAAAGCAGATCGACGGCTGCTAAATATAAACTGTAGAACCTTTTATTCCTTGTAAAACATCAATACGATTCAGCTGTTAGTAAGTGCCAAATATAGAATGAGGGCACAAATGTCGGATTAAGGTCAGGACTTTGAGCAGGCCACCGTTTATTTTACTCTTTCTTTGACATGGTGCCTTTGTGTGGTTTTTCTGAGACGGAGACAGCAAAAAATGGACTGTATATGTATGGTATGGAAGCGAGCAATCAGTTTAGATGAATCTAATTTCAATCGTTTTCAGTCCGACGATAAGCAATATTGATATTTTTGACAGGAATTGAAAATCCTTCATTCACTATAATAATGGTCTTAACAATTTCGGTCGGCGAAACAGCTTCGGAAGCGTACGCGTTGAGAACTGGTTTTTTCAATACGACCCGGAAACCAAACGCCAAAGCTCACAATGGTTGTATCCGTACGCCCCCAGCACGTCGCATGAGCAAGTGGAAAGTGAAAACGATGATTATTGTCTTTTTTGATAGCCGTGATATCGTCCACAAAGAATTTCTTCCACCAGGACAAACAGTAAATCAAGTCTACTATCGCCAAGTACTCGAAAGTTTGCCAAAAGGAGTAAACACGGTGCGCCCAGAATATCGCTCGTAACTGGATCCTTCATCACGACAACGCGCCGTGCCACATCGCTCTCAGCGTGTTCTTTGGCCTCTAGAGGTATCGCCGTGTTGCAGCAAACGCCTGTGTCTTTTTTTTGTTCGAAAGAACAAAATCGGTCAAAGGAACCCATTTTGAGTCGATTGAGGAAATCCAGGCGGCCGTGACATCCCAGTCAAAGCGTTCCAGAAATGTTTCGAAGCATCAAAAACGCTCTGGATGGAGAGTTGTCGAATAATTTTGAAATATACGATTTTTATGGAATCAGTCTCGTTACTTAATTGTCACTCTATTCGTTGTAACCATTTTGCAGTTACCGTTTGACCCTTTTTTAGTGAAATAGCTGCTACGATTTTAGATTGGGTGAAGTAAACTGACATCATTGCTTTTGCTGCTAATTCTTGTTGCTTAGATTTTTCGGGTGGGTTGCCCCCTATTGGACTCCAAAACATGGACTGCTATTTGGTTTCTGGATCGTACTTATAGAACTAAGATTAGTCACCAGTAACGACTTTACTAAAGTTGGCAGACTAACCATTTTCGAATTTGTTTAGGAAAAATAGAGTAAAAAGCGCTTGAGCCTCATTTAAAGTTCGAAGATTTCTTAGTGTGTCCCAGATGATTACTTAATATCCACGATACAGCCATGACCTTGAAGCCCAATTCATTAGCAAGTATTTCTTGTGTCAATTGAGGGTCTTTGTCAATTTTTCAACTTCACTAGAGCTACAGTGACGTCTTCAGTGGAAGATTTCGTTCAACCTTCTCAAGGCTCGTCCTCTACAGAAAAATGTGCGATCCGGAATCTTCGCAGCCACTAACAAGTAGTCTTTAAGGAAGATGTAAGATTTGTATTGGCTGTAAATTACGTCGAAACTCGAAGAGAACCACATGGGAAATTATGTGCGCTGTTAGGTGAATTTCGTGTGACCTATCCTCAACTAGGTGGCGTTTTCTCGTCTCCTTTTTAGCCGATAGCCTTAAAATTTGAAAGGAAGACTAATAAAGCAATTGCAAAGGATTCGGTATTTTTAGATTTAACAAAACCAAATTGAAAGTCACCAGCTGACCGAACTTTTGTTAATTTTCTCGTACACACCAAGTAATCGGAATACCATGTTAGGGGTTAGGTTAAAAATTATTTAGGTCTTGCTCTGGATTGTGACATGCCCTGTTGACTGAGCTAAATACTACAGTTGACACTGGTTCTATCACATAAGTGTTTGAGTAAACTCCGTAGGATTTCTCTAAAGGACAAAATATTTTAGGTCTTTTAAGGGCTCTCGTATTGGTAGTGTAGGACGAGTTAGACTTTTTACAACCACAGATTTCGATATCCTACTATTTTCATTCTGGAATAATGAAAAGCACTGCCAAATATGATAGGCTCTTGCACAATATGTGTAGTTCTGTTTGGAATAAATGTAACGTATTTGAAGAATTTCTGTTGCTTTCATATAGCAATGGCTGCCGCCATCACAGCATCCACCTACTAACCTCAATTTTCCCTTGTAGTTGCGTTGAGTGCAATACGTACGTCTGGACCCGGCTATTTAGAATATTTGATAGAGGTTACACATATATCAACGTAAGTTCATAAGCTTGTTTATACCTCTACAATGTAATTGTTTCTCCAATAATATTGCTATTAATGTTGCAAATGGAATATTGCCAACGGTCAGATTGCAATTGGTCGTAATGTCAGCAACGCTTGTTACTCGCCACATCACTGTGCTTGGCCCATACATACTCAGGTGTTAAGGCGCACAGGCAGTGAGCACGCAGTGTTGCACTCGGTACCGCATTGATTGTTATGTGCATTGTTATTGCAATTTGCTGCACTGGCTTATGGCAACTGTTGCATTTGTAACTGTAATTTAATATAGTAACATCGATTTCATTCACACATTTCTTCGCTTCTCTTTTTGTGCTCATAATAACTGTGCATATGTGTGCGTGTGTGTATGTTTGCTGGTCAGGTGGGACAGTCGATGGATCAACTGGTGGCATTTAGAGGGGGAGTTTGGTTTGCCTGTGTGTGTTTGTGGTCTAGTTCGGTGTGTGTGTATGTGTGTGTGTGTGTTGAGTACACCTTGAAATGCAGTGACCTCTGTGGTTATTTGTCGACGCTGCTGACGTTTTGCCATTGTATTGTAGTTAAACGAGTTTGTGGTGTAGGACAAAATGTGCTGTCGGTGGAGGGAAAATAATGTGCAAAACGGTTTAATATTTACAAATAATACATTGTATATTTGTATGTATTTAAATTGTTTGCATTATTATTTGCACTCATAATTGTCAGCTTAAATATGTTTACATTTATTTGCACTTTTTTTTGTTTAATTTTATATTGACATAATTTACGTGGCGATGAGCAGTAGAGCGGGTGAGAGCGAGGACGAGAGAGAAAGTGCAGCAAACAAAGTGATTAAATGGCGGAAGAGCTGAAACAAAGAAAAGCAAATAAGTAATGGCTTAACAAATACAAAGCTGTTTGCAATAAAATGTGATTTTTATCAATTAACGGTAATCGTCAGTGTTTATTGCTTTTTACCACAGCTATTTGAGATCGTGTGGAATATCACGTTTTTGCAGTGAGCTTGAGTGTGCACTATATGTTAGTACCATATTAATTATTTTTTGTTAAAGGGTTTGAGTGGTTCTTCCATTGTTTGGCTTGAACATATGAACTAAAGTGTCTTCATATTCTAACCATGTATTCTATACATCCGGCCTGACCTTTCTGAGAAGAAACAAACAAAAAGAGCTGTCTTCGGACATGGCGAAGTCATCATACCTTTCATTACCATATCGAATTCAAGGTAATTTAGATTAGGTTTAAATATTAATTTTCTTATTTGAAGAATAGGTTGGAGGAGCTGTAGGACATAGTCCTATAATTTTGGTAGTTGTATTTTTGTGTATATAATACCATGGGATGCTTCTAGGGGTTATTTTTTCGACAAATTTTTGAACAAAAACCTTATATCTGAACAATTCGGTTGTAATGGGCTAAATGTTATTCTCCGATTTGGATAACGTTCAGTATAATTATTTCTTTACCAACTAGTATACAAAACCTCTAGTTAAATACTAGAATGTTGAAGATGAAATCATACCAGTTCGTTACTCGTAAAAAAAAGTCCACCAGTAACGGGAGAAATAACGATTTCCAGCGCTGTTTGTTGTTGTTATCTGCGCAGACCGCAGGCTAAATTCCATTTTCTGCTCTGTTCTGTAGAAGTGCGCAAAATGACATTAATCGTTACATCGTCATGATAGCCGAGTGGTTAGAGGTTATCGTTGTAGCGCAAATTAACTTTTAAGTTTTATTTGTTTTAATTTTTGATGAATCAGAAATTTTGAATTTTTTTTTTTGATGAAACAGAAATTTTCACTTCCCCCTCATTCGTATAGTTTTTTTTTTTGTTTTTAGTATGATACGGCTTAGTTCCATTTTCTAAAAATTTCTGCTGAAGTACGCAGATTTCGTTCGTCCGTATATCATAACGATGGTCTGGTGGGCAGAGGTCTTCACTGTGGTGCGTATGGTTCTCCGTTCGATTCTCGAAGCTGGCAAACTGAATTTTATTTTATTAATTTTTTTTTTTTGGTGAAGGAGAAGTTCAACTTGCCTAAATGAACTGGTATTAAACTACTATGAAGCTGATGCATAGTAGGATAATTGCCAGCGCGTGGTACATTGGCGTGTTAAAAATACCAGTTGATTACATGGAAAATGGATGAAGATGAACTAGTTGGTGTAAAAATGTAAACTAATTGGATTCTAGTTGACGGCTAGTATTTTCCCCTGCAGGTATGCAGCTAAGAGTAGAAGGACAATTGTCGAAAATGTCGATAAAATTATGGACATTGTCGAGTCCGACCGTCCTATAAAGACTGCTTCGACTGTCAAAGAGCTAAAAATTGCACAAAAAACCGTTTGAAATCATTTGAATAATGCTGACTACGAAAAGTAAAAATTAAAACCTTCAATTTCATGCAAAAATAATGGATTTCTTTTTACTACGTCAATATGTTACAGTCGTTCGATGTCGATGATTTTCAGCACCAACGCGTATTTCATTATACAGGGTTAACCTTTTTGCGTTTTTGAAAATAAACATGAATACTTTGTTTTAGATGACCTTTGTTTTTTATTTACTGAATCTGCTTTGATATCAATCAAATTGGCTGGAAATGGGCTGCTGGCTCAGTGCTGCTCTTCACGAAGGTACTAAATGCCTTCTCTTTTGGCACGTTTGACTTGTTGCGGAGACCAAGGTGATACCCAAAAGGTCTTCCTTGATGGTGGGTATTTGTAGATCTCTATGGATATTTTCGTTTCGCATGTACCATGGTGCACCCGTTATTCTTCTCAGTGTTTTCAGTTGGAATATTTTTGTTAAATCTTGATTCGCTGTGCCCCATAGTATGGAATCCATATATTCATATCGATTTTATACTCGTTTTATAAAGAAGGACTTTGTCTTCAAGGCTCCGCCAAGATTTCCTGCTTAAAGTCCAAGACAAACTGGAAAATTTATGTTTCAGCTGCATTTTTTTGGTGGCAATGTGTCGCTTCGAAGTTAATCTCTATCCAAGCGATTGCCAGGTTATGTTAATTTGTTAGCTTGTGTGATTGGCACATTGTTGAGCTTGTTGGGGGCATAATATCTTAGCTTTAATATGGTACTGAAAAGTTTTGCAAAAAACACGAGCTTAACAGTTCTCTTAGTATTTTTGTTGAGATATTGGATGAGTGCATAAGCTCGTGCCCGATTCCGCTGGATGCCGTTCGAATCGTTTGAGAGTGGCGCTCGTGAAAGAAATATACACATATTATATATCGTTGGAAAGCTGATAGTCCGAACTGTAAATCAAGCATAAAATAACTTCGTTTTGATTTGAGTTGCTTAGTGAAAAGACGCATGGAAGATGGACAACGAAAAAGATCATATGCGTCATATTAAATATGTTAAACGATATCTTGAAATTGGGCACGAACTTATGCCTTCTGGAATTTTCGTTTTTGAATTTAAGGCAGTAATAATATTATTTCGGCCCACCAACTCTATTTCATTATTAGATATCAGTAATAAATCCACTTGCAGAAGAGAATAAATTCTTTTCTTTGTTAATTTTTTTAGAGACATTTTTATTCTATAAATTAATAGAAAAAATGTTAATAGACAAAATTTAATGTAGTTTAAGAATAAATGATTAAATAAAGAAAAAATGTTGGATCCTCGTGTTCCTTTAACCGATCTCCGGAAGGGCTTTCAACAAAGGTGCCTCGTGGTGAGAAGATATTTCTACTTCAAATTCTCTGAAACCAGAAACGTAAAAAAATTAGTATTATAATGGATGAATACAGGTAACGATCGAAGAAATAGTGACAATTTAGATTTTTCACAAAATGGCGGCTTTACAACAAATCAACTTTTGTGAAAAATTCTACATTTGACTCAAAAGATCGGAATTATAGTAAAAAATTGTATTCCTTCGATCATCACCTAACAAACATATCTTAGAAGGTCGTGTGATAATTTTAAGTCGATCGGTGAAATTTTCCTCACCGACTCTGAAAACGGCGTTTAAAAAAAAAAAACCAAACCATTTTTACAAAGTTAAACTACTCCGCCTTGCGCTAAGTCTATTTTCGAATGAAACGAGACGTCCTTGATACGTTCATATCTCCGAGTTAGTTTATCAGATCAACTTCAGATATCGGAAAATATTCTCAAATATATGTACATTCGAAAAATAAAATTTTTTTTCGAAATTTACATGAGGATATAACCTCTTAAAGACTCTTCAGAAATGATTAGAATATACATAACGCCTGCAAATTCGTTCAAGTCAGATTTGAGATAATTGGTAGGCCAGTAAGCTAGTTGTCTTAGGGAGATAAAATCGTATCTATTTTACAACCATATTATATACAATAACTGTCGACTTTTTGGGTGAATTTGTCTCGAACCATTGTAGTCACCTGCAATTAAAAATCTGAATAAAATATGTTTAAAATATTTTTTTTCATGAAATTAATTTTTTCATACAGAGTTTGACTTGGCATTATATCATTATTGAAATGATCGCCTCGCGAATTTTCGTTAACGTCAACCCTTTGGAAACGATTTCACGACCATTCTACGCCACATATTGGACGTTATCTTAAGCACGAAAGTTAGCTTAAGGCTCATCTGTATAAACACGGTCTTTCGCGTAGGCCCACAAATAAGCTCCAAAGCTGTTAATCGCATGATCCCGTTGGTCAATTGACATCGCCAAGACGAGAGAATACGACACCGACAACTTTCTCACATAATAAAGCCGTATACGCTCAGGTAGCGAAACATGAGACACCATCTTGTTGCAACCACAAGTCGTGTTCTTCAATTGAGGGCCGAATTAAGTCGGTTAATATACAATAATAATGGTCCCGATTAACAATAACAGTCTCGCCGTCGTCGTTTTCAAATAAGTAAATTCCAATCACACCTCCGAACCAAAGAGAGCACCAGGCAGTAAGCTTGGGTTTTTGACTGAAGCAACGATTTGATGAGTCATCCAATTCATTATAGTCCTGAATTACCAACGACATACTTCTTATTTATTCCGTACATCCCGTATGTAAGAAATAGTCTGAGAGATCAACGTTTTTCAGGACCCGAAGAGGCGGTTGACGCGTTCTGAAAAAACAATAAAATTATTTTCGATGAACTAATTTTAGCTTCTGTTTTCTCAGCCTGAAGAGTGCTAGTCTTGCCTTGTTTCATGATACGTCTATGTGCATATAGCAAAAAAATCGATTATTTTTACGAGTACGCTCCGATCAATTATTTCATTTTTTAAGTTGATGTTGAAAATGTTCGCCGTGTGAAATCAATTTTACTGTGATTTCCCAGCTTTATTTCAATTTAACTTGCTGCCCTGTGCTTTTCAATCTTATTTTCATCACATAACATCCACCGTTTGATTTCATTACAGGGCAAACCAATTTTACAGTTAATCACCGATTGCCATTACCAATTTGAGTGGGCAACAAACGTCATTTGTCCATCGCATATGTGCACTTTTAATGAGGAGAAATGTGAAATAATTAACGATGATATTAACTATAACTACGAAGTGAAAACGGCGCCATTCACCAATGAGGGTAAAATGAAGGTAAGAGACGGTTAAGTGATGTGATTTTCAGTTGACTACATACTTTAGTTTAACAAACGTAGAATAATATTTATGACCCAAATTGACTATTCTTTAAAAAACGTTGGCTCTTTTCCTCAGATTTCGATTGGTAAGAGTGATTTCACACTCGACATTTGTGGTAAACACCGTAAGGCGGAGACAGATTATGCAGAGGGTTCGGTGAATTTGTACTTCACCACGGATGCGCCATGTGGTGAGTGAAATGTGCTAATATTTATTATTGTAATTATTCAATAAAGTAGATCTCTCTTAACAATCTCTTGCGCTCTGAATAATTCTGAAAAAATAATTTTGCTGAAAAGTAAAGAGAGCAGTAAGCAATGTGGCTCTCATTTCTTAGTATCTCGCTTCTTTGTGGAAAATAAAAATAACTTGCTTAAATTTAAATATTATTTATTCAAAAGAGCTCGATACGTCTGCGCTACATTTCATATAATAAATCAATGACTTTTCTGGTTTGAGCTTTTTTTTAAACATATTTTTTATTCACCAAACCTTTTAACATCTTTGTTTTTTTTTTTTTAATTTAAGCGGAAAAGTTAAACTTAATTTACCGCAACGCGGATTTTCCTATCCGGCTTCCGATCTGCTACACTCTTTGTTCCGCAGTCCGTTCAGTCAAGTGCATTTGGCATTCAGTAGCAGTTCTGCTGTGAATTTTCCTTCACATTTTACTTATGTGCCACTCATTCGTCTACTTATTTAATCTGTAAATCACATTAGAATTGGCAATTGTCCTCCCGTTGCACTTGTTTTGTGTCTTCTGTTGCGCTTATCTAGCTATTTCGCGCTTTGGTGCTCCCCGGCGGATATTATCGCGCTAGACATCCCGAACTGCTCTCTGCGTCGCTTAGTTATATAAATACACGTAATAGAGCAAAAAGTGTGTCTGTGTGGTAGTTTGTGATATGCAAGTTTGCATAGAAAACAAAAGGGTGTCTCATTAGATGATAAAACTGATTCAATCAATCAAGTCATTATATCTTTCATGTACATGAATTGGTATAGTAATTTTTTCCGATTTACGTAAGTATTAGAAACATAAGAGCAAGACCCAGCAAAATTTATACCAAGCGGATTGGAACGACAAGCTAAGTTCATTTGGCTATATGCGTCTGTTCATCTGTACGTTTGCCCGTCTGTCTCTCAGATTTTGAAAGATTTCAACCAAAGCCAGATCGAACCACTATAACATGTAGTCACCATATAGCCGATTTGTTTAGATATGAGGTTTCGGAACAAAAAAAAAAAAACGTCAAAAAACATCTTATAGCGTTTTGTTTTGTATTCAATATAAATAATTTCATTAAATGATGACATTGAAAACTATCCGAATCGGAAGACCTTCCTAGAAAAAATTTTTATATCAAAGATGCGCCTCGTTCTGTATGGTCAGTTACTCAGAGAGCTGTTGAAATTGCGTAAATGGAGGAGCAAGATTGGCATAGCGGATGCATGAGACATGACTGACATGTCCACTCCGAGCAATTAAAACCTTTCGAAATAGTCCATTCTGTGCTCTACTGTCTGCTAGTTGGGAAGTTGGATGCACCCACCCAGACTAGACACAATTTGCCATGCTTACTTCATATTTTCAGAAAAAGAAAAGCAAAAATTTGAATTATGAATTCTGTAAGTTAAGAAATATCTTTCAGGTGAATTTAGAAATTTTAAATAAAGATTAGACAAAATAAAAAAAGCAAAAACAAATAAAAAGATTAAAAAAAATTAAAAAAAATTAAAAAAAATTAAAAAAAATTAAAAAAAATTGAAAAAATTTAAAAAAAATCTAAAGAAAATTAAAAAAAATATAAAAAAAAATTAAAAAAAAAAATAAAAAAAATAAAAAAAAAATATAAAAAAAAATTTAAAAAAAAAAATAAAGAAAATTAAATAAAAGAAATAAAAAAATTAAATAAAAAAGTTAAAGAAAAAATAAAATAATAAAAATAATTTAAAAAATAAGAAAAGATTTAAAAAATAAGAAAAGATTAAAAAAAATAAGAAAAGATTAAAAAAAAATAATGAAAAATTAAAAAAAAAATAAGAAAAAAAAGAATTAAAAAAATAAAAAAAGTTAAAAAATATAAGTTTTAATAAAAAAAATATAAAAGGAGAATAAAAAGTATAAAAAAAAATATTATATTAAACAAGTTGAAAAAAAAAATAATAAAAAAAAGTAATTAAAGGAAATTAAAAAAAAAATTAAATAAAATTGAAAAAGATTTTTTTTTAAAGTTTTCATATGTGACTTTCAATTTAGCAAACAAAAATTTTTTGAAATGTAGTTTCCTTACTTTAATCAAATAAATTAATAAATAAATAATCCATTTTTATCTTACGAGTACATAAAATTTTTTGAATTAATTTTTTTCCTAAAAACATCAAAACGCTTCATACCTAATGGAACACCATTTACGAAACGCCATAGACTCGCAAGCACACACAGCGCTCCCGCTGAGTTTTAAATAAAAATCACATTTCTACTGCCATGTTCGGCGAAACGTTTTCTTGCATATGGAAACCGGATGACTGCATCGTCTTACTTCCGTTTTGCTGCGCCACACTTTACGCTACATTCTCTGTTGCATCCTTGTTAACTGTCGTTTTTTATTTTGGTCTGTCTTCTTTGTCGTATATATGTATATACGTATACATATATTTTTTTTTTTTTTGGCTCGCAAGTTATGCCAGCGGCACTTCATTCACCGCCATATGCGCACAAGCTTTACGCGCGCTTAGCTTCATTGTCGTTGCTGTAGGAAGCAGTTCAGTTCAGCAGCTCAGCGGTTGGCATGCCATTGGTGTTTTTGTTTTTTGTTGCCACACTCCCGTTTTTCCATTCGCTCTTTTTTTGGTTTTCTTTGCCCAACATTGAGTGGAAAAACCAATACGAGAAAATACTGAAAGTAGCAGGAATTTAAAAATGAAATCCGCCAGATAATGGAGGAGAAAAAACTTGCCTTGTTTCCGTGGTCTATGAATTTTTAATATGGCGACGACGGCTGCGGCAAGCTGGCGACAACAACAGGCATTGTCAACGGTTCGGTAACAGTGCGCGAAAGGTGTGCAGAAGCTCAGCATAAATTATGATTTTTTTTTTAAATAAATATGATTTCAGAAATATTTTTCAGACATGTCTACCAAGTTGTAATTATTTGTATTTTCCTCTGTGGAAAACAATCCGAACGAAGTCACATAAACCAAGCGATTTCGTAAGAAGACAGCAGCATGCGTTCTTTTTTCAGAACCGAAGAGATTTCGATTTCAATATGCCTTGCTCGAATATTTCAAACTTTCGAAGAATTGATGTGTGATGTCATAAAATGAGTCCTTGGACAAGAGCTATCCGAGTCTGTCATATTGAACGTAACGTCATTATGCCCCTCTCATAGAAACCCTTGTCCCTATTGGTAAAAAACAGGGACAATCGATTTTCACAGCTTCTCTTGAAGCTAATTCTTCACCAGCAAAATCATTCATCAAAGACAGATGCATGAGAACCTTACAATGAAGCTCTCAGTAGGCTAAAGCTGGGCGATTCTGATCGATTTCGTCCTTCAGATGGTTCAATTGCTGACAGTCCAGATCCGAATTAAAAGTTTGGCCGTGGGAAAGCAGCTCATGGTGGAAATAGTGGATGATTCCTTGTCGGTCTCACCAAACGTACAACAAAACCTTCCTGGCCAGGAAATCTGTTTTGGAAAGCTATTGTGCCGGCTGACTGCCCTTAGAGCACGAAGTTTGCTGCCAGTGATACACTTTACATCGCCGGCCACCATCCGCTTCAAAAATGGTTTGAATTTCTTGCAATTCAGCAGCGATTCATAAATGGAAATTCGGTCCATGAGATTTTTTCTCAGCAACTTATATATCGAACTTCTTTGTTTATTTAGCCTTGTTCAAATGGATCCAAGCAGTTTTTTATCCAATGCTTAATTTCTGGGCTATCGAAACAGACTTCGCATGATTGTCATACTCGACGATTTCTATTCTTTTATCGACATTTTCGATATTTAGTCTTCCACTCCGTGGAACATCTTCTACATCAAAACTACAGGAACGAAAACCACAAACCCGAAACCGTGTTAATGATTGACTGTTGCAGCAAAAGGATCATGAACACTATGCATATGCAGTTGCTTAACTTTCGTTTTCGTCTTTATCGAAGAAAAATTTTAGAATATCAAATATACTCGCTATGCTGGTGTCAGGTGATCAACACCTCTCCGTAGTCTGTCCTCTTTTCAAAATTTTTCTATTGAATTTTCAAGATTTTGAAATGATTTCTATTTGATTCTTAATGATTTCTTAACATAAAAATTATTTTGAGCATTTTTTGCATTTTTCTAACAAACAGAATTTACCTGGTTTTTTTTGTAAAAAAACCAATTTAAAACTTCGTTGTAGAGAGCTGTTTTTTTACTGTTTTTTAGAAAACAGTAAGAGCTTTAAAGAAATATGCGCTTTTATCAAAGAACTTCTCTTTTATTGCGCATTGTTTTCACCTTATCGATCGCATCATTTAAGGAGGTTACTGCTGCGCGATGGCAGGAGTACACGGTCGGTTTACGTTTCCTCTGTTCTTGTGGTGTCACAGTGCTTGCCACTATTACGCAAAAAAGCACTCAAGTTGGTATAGCCACTTTCATTGCTGTTGTCCGATTAAAAGCACAAATCTGTGGGATTTTCATTTTTGTCATTTTCCACTTTCCTTTTTGATCTCATTTCTTCTCCCCTTGCAAGAGCGGTCGGTTGTTCATGTCATCATATTTATTTTATCTTTGCTCGAATGGTGTTGTATTTATTTACAAACACATACAAATATGTATGGTAATGAAGGAAGGAGCCTCGCAGTTGTCAAGGTGATAAGGTGTTCGTGAGACGAATCGGGGGTGGGATGTCATGGTAATGAAATATCCATTTAAGAAAGGAAAATAAAAAGTAGTTCTCGTGATGCAAGCAAACTAATGGCGCTTTACTTTAAATGAAACTTGAATCGATTGGGTATCGTTAAATACACATCTACCAGAATTTATTTTCATTGCTTCTGTTACTGACAGCACTTTTCATCGTTAACCGTTAAAATTCGAGTGTTCGATAAATAGCGATGGATCTTCATATGTTAATAGCAAAGTTATTATTTTAACAAAAAAAATAAAAATAAACTAATGAACTAATGATACATTAACTAAAGGGTCGTCCATTTCGAGGTTCCCTACTTTTTTCTTTTAAAGAAAAAAGGCACAGAAAATTCAATTTTAATCAGGAATGCTTATTATTATTCGAAAGCTCATTCTTTGTCATTTATTTCTTGAAGCTTACTTCATTTAGGCCGCGGTTATGTCATATATGGTCTATCGTTGAGTTCAATTTTCGATGACTGGTTCGAGCATTTCGAATGGTAACTGGCGAATGACCCATGTGATGTTTTGCTCCAAGGCCTTTACTTTACACTTCCCTTCAGGAAAAAGTCGAACGTGTGATATCACACTTTCTTGGTGGCCAGTCGATCGGCCCATTATGTGAAATTATCTGCTCACCGTAAAGTTCCCTCAATAAATTCATTGATTGATGCGATGTGTGGGAAGTGGCACCGTTTTGTTGAAACCAAATGTCGCCGAGATCACGAGTTTCAATTTCAGGCATCAAAAAATCTGTTATCATTGTGCGATAACGGTGGCCGTTCTCGGTTAAGTACTGACCTTCGTAATTTTTAAAGAAAAATGGCCCGACGATTCCAACGGTCCATAAACCGCAAAAGACCGTTGTTTTTTTTGGATGAATTGACAGTTCTTGAATCTCTTCCGATTGTTCTTCCTCCGAGTTGCGACAATTTTTCTTATTTACATACCCATTGAGCCAGAAATGATCCTCATCGCTGAACAAAATTTGGCTCGATAACGTCGTATCTTCGTGGAAATTTTCAAGAGCCTATAGAGCGAAGCAATGTCGCTTGGGAAAGGCCAGCGGCTTCAGTTCTTGCACAAGCTGTATACTATACGCTTTTAATTTAAGAGCTCGACGTAAAATGCACCAAGTTGCTCCATTCGTCTGTCCGAGTTGCCGCGAACGGCGCCCAATCGATTCTTCACGATTTTCGTGTACACTTTCAGCTACGGCCGCTATATTTTATTCATTGCGTACACTTTCAACCTCGGCCGCTATATTTTATTCACTGCGAGCTAGACGTGATCTATTCGGCTGGGATGTCACGGCCGCCTGGATTTCCTCAATCGACTCAAAGTAGGTTCCTTTCACCAACGAATTTGTTCTTTGGAACAAAAAAAGTCACTGGATGACGTATCGGGTGAATAAGGCGGGCGGAAACAACCATTGTGAGCTTTGAAAAAAAAAAAAACAGCTCTCATCGCGAACGTTTCCGAAGCTGTTTCGTCCAATTTCTCGCAATATTTAAACGCGACGTGGGGCTCTTGATTTCCTTTTTCTATTTTCTTGACAAGCACCTCGAACACACGACACAGCAGGCGAACTAACAAGGTTAGGTCGCCGAAAGGGTCACAGCCCTTGGCCGGATAAAGTCCGGGTCAACTCCGGTGCGTAGAACCGGCTGTCTTGAGAGTTGAAGGTCTGGGTACTGTAGCAGATTAAACATGTGGAGAGTCTCCGCGCGACACTAACCACCTCTTCACATGCTCTCTCAAACCAACTCATCTAACCCAATCTCTCTTCAGCCCAACCCCGTCGAAACAGCTCGTTTCCTGGACCTCCCATTAGATGACCTCGGCGACTTTGATGGATCAAACCTGTGCTTAAGCGGGGTTAGCGAACCGCTGCAACAATAACTACAACAACAGGCGAACTAAACAAGCCAGAGCGATGGCAAATATATCAATGGAAAGGAGAAGGATGATCAGAGTTGTTGTTGATATTGATAGCATTGTCCTCCAGAATAGCAACGTTAGTTCTATCAACGCGTCAGTGCCACAAAACATCAACAACACATCCAGCCACAAAATCACTCTATCAAACGCAAAACATTGGGAAAATGTCATAACGTTATCCAATGAACGTATGACAATATAATAAAAAAAAATGTTGATAATCACACCATTCAATCTCGCGAAATTTAAAAATTTTTCTTATTATATTGGTCCACAAGAACTTACAATTAAAATATAATCTAAAAACTATATTTTGCAAAAAAGCTGAAGTGTACGTCATGTCTGTTCCTCGCTGCCGTATTTGAGTAGCTCGGCCGAAAAATAACTGTTTCCACAGCAAGGCCACGATGAGTTGCTTACGAATGTTCTCCGAAAGCAGTTGTACAAGTCGAGAGGAAAACCGGTTGACTGTCTATTGAAATTACAGATTTCGACGTCGAACCTTTCTCGTGTTTGCTGACGAGCGTTCTTTGATCCACTAAGGTGGGCGCTTATTTTCACTGCAACAAGATACTCGTAGTTATCCGAGTTGATGTTGGGACACGTAAGCACAACTAGAACGTTGAAGACACATCTACCGTCAATCACTGCACGATTGATTTGATGGCATGATTTTTGATCCGGTGATAGCACAGATAACTGCTACTGCATACAACTTTATTTAAGTCCCCGGCAAAGTCAAACAGTCTGCCGATCGAAGTATCCCCATCACAAAGCGAACATCAAATTTTCGCACCTTCAAATGACGGCTGTAGTAGTTTTAACAAGAACCCATCCTCTGCCGTCCCTGCCTCGTCCTCCGCACTTCTTGGAACGCGGTGATGTCAGCCTTTATTCTTACGAGGACATCTACCAGCTGGGCAGCGGCACCTTTTTCAATTAGGGGAACGGACATTCCAGATGTATGCCATCAAAATATATTTCTTAAAATAATACATTTGCTGGAGTTGCCATCAAAAGTAGGGGCTTTAAGTTAGTTATTTGTTAGTTGTGTTCTTTTTCATTGGAGTACAATTTGTGTATAACAGGTTCCAAATCGTTAAAGAACCATAGATGGTTTAGTCCTTTCACTTTAGCTTGCCTCAAAATGGATGCTTGTTGGCTACCCAGAGAGCATTTGGCCTGAGACTGGAAGTCGTGAGCTGCTGAATCACATGAATCGTTTCCGGTCACCGCCAGTAAATGACAGTCAAAAATTTTTCTCACTTCTGTGAGCTTTTTACACATAGCCACGTTCCCAGAAAAATAGAAATACGTGCGCGTATAACACTCACTAATAAATCAGGCTACTGAATAAAGAACAGATATACTCAAATTATCTCTTTACTATTAATCCCCTTGGGTATTTAGAACTTTAATTATGAATTTAAGTTATGCTTTAGAAAACAGAAAGATTATTATTATCTATTATTAAGCCACCCTAATGAACAATGAATCACTATATTTGCCATTTGGCCCTTTTCTGCTTTTCATTACTTTTTAATTGCCTCAGTGACGGCAAAGCCTTTGCGCTGTATTTTTATTTTTTTTTTAGACTTGACTACATAGTTTGTAGGTGAAATTTAAGTTGAAAAAGAACATTTTGCTTTTATTTGTTATTTGTTTTTGTTTTCTAGCATCCTATGCCTGTTCTTCGCAAATCATTTGTTTGTCCATTTTTCTGACATTTATGTGTATAATCACTTTGCTTTGTTTGAGTGTCATTATTACAAATGGGATTTTTGTGTAATTGTTACCGCTCCTGAGTATTCCTGATACACCCACACGCCCACACACGCACACACACCCCAACGAGCTCTCATACTCTCGTCCTCACTCCACCTTTTCGACTGCGTACTTTTTGGCAACTGCTAATGAAAGTTTCTCATTTTTGATTGACACATAAAAGCAAAAGTTTTCCTTTCAGTCATTTTCATTGCTCGACTGCTTTATTGTGCTTCTTGTGTGTCTTTTGCTCTTTGAATATTCGGTTTGGGACTCATTTGCACAGCTCTTTGTATGAAATTATTATATTTAGTTATTTCGTTTCAACTTTTCACATTTTATGTTGCGTAGATAAGCGAAAACATTTGGGTCTCATTATTAAAATTATTTAAAGAGCGCAAATATTTGGGGATTTGAAGAATTTATTTTTGTTTTTCTATTTACTATTTTTCGTTTTTTATGATGTTAAGTCCTTCTGATTAAACTTTGTTTGTAAATTTCATAGAATTGAGGATTTTTAAGTTTCTTTCTTATGTCTAATTCATTCTCTCCATTTTCTTGTTTCAGGCAAATCGAATGTACAGCTGCGTTTAATCTGTAGCGGCGACACAAAACAAGTCATCAACTATAATAATGTGAGTATTCAAAATTTTTTAATTTACATACAGCGAATTTTGTATCCTCATCACTATTGTTTGAGAAACCTAAAATTTGGAAGTTTATTCTAAGGAAGTTCTTTAATTGTTTTTTTTTTTTTCAATAAAAAAATAATAAATATTTCTTCTCTTCTTTATTGACGTTGGCACCGCTTACGCGATTATAGCCGATTTAATATTAGCGCGCCTTCGTCTCTTCTTTTCGCCAGTTGGAAATACCAAGTGAAGCCAGCTCGCTCTCCACCTGATCCTTCCAAAGGAGTGGAGATCTTCCTCTTCCTCTACTTCCACCGGCGGGTACTGCACCGAATACTTTTAAAGCTGGAGTGCTTTCATCCATGCGGATGACAGTGTAGCCGCTGTCTCTTCATTCGCTGGACTGTGTCAATATCATCATATAGATCGTACAACTCATCGTTCCATGGACCATAAATCGTTCGCAAAACCTTTCTCTCGAAGTTTCCTTGAGCCGACTTATCAGATGTTGATATCTTCCATGCGCCATATAGTGGGACGAGGGTATGATGAGCAACTTGTAGAGTTTGGTTTTCGTTCGCCGTTAGAGGACTCTACTTTTCAATTGCCTGCTCTGTTTAAATCAGAAGCACCTATTGGCAAGAGTAATTCTGCGTTGGATTTTTCCCTTCACATTGCTATTGATGTTAATATTGGTTCCAAGATAGACGATGTTATTTACGACTTCAACGTTATAACTGTCAACAGTGACGTGGAAGCCGAGTCCCGAATATGACGACTGTTTATCTGATGACAGAAGATATTTCGTCTTGCCTTCATTCACTATTAGACCCATATCCTTCGCATCCCCTTCCAGTCTGGAGAAAGCACAACTCGCGGCGCAGTTGTTGAGACCGATAATGTCAATATCTCAGGGTATGCCAGTGGGTGTACACTCTTATATAAGCTTCTGCTCTTCTCTCTCTTCAGCTCTGCATCTCGTATTATTTTCTCCGGCATCAAATTAACGAAGTCGCACATTAATAAATCACCTTTTCTGAGACCTGGTTAGGTGTTTACACAGCCGTATAATAGCGTCGTAGAGACAGCTCCTTTTGGTGCTGTCAAAGGCGGCTTTAAAATCGGCCAAGAGGTGGTGTGTGTCGATTTCCAGATTTGGCGCATTGTGAAAATCTGGTCAATGTTTGACTTACCAGTTCTAAAGTCACACTGATAAGGTCCAATCAGTTTTTGGACGGTGGGCTTCAGTCCTTCGCACAATACGCTTGATAAAACCTTCTATGCGATGCTAAGAAGGTTTATTCCACGATAATTGGCGCCCACTGTGGGATCGTCTTTTTTGTGGATTGGGGAAATTCATGCTTTCATCCGAGCATATTTTGCAAAAAAAAGCTGATACATGCACCTGATCAGTTCTTCACCGCCGTATTTGCGTAGCTTGGCCGGTAATCCATCGGTTTCCGTCGCTTTGTTGTTCTTTAGGCGGACGATTGCTATTCAGACTTCTCCATAGTCGGGTAACGGAACTACTTTTCCATTGTCTTCAATTATTCAATTCAATTCCTGGTCCACCATCTCTGGGTGTTTCCTTTTGATTGCCATACAGCAGGCTGGATAAGTTTTCCCTCCATAAATTCAGTATACTCTGAGCATCCGTCACTTGTCGGCCAGCTTCCCAAGCTCCTCGTACTCACGCATTTCGGCCTCTTTCTTTTTTCCCTACAAATGCGTCTTGCTTGCCTCTTACCTATTGCTTCCCTCTCAGTATCTATCCTACCCTGCACGTATTGTGGTCGATCGTAAGGTCGCGTGGCAGACAGTCTGTTTTCTCTCCACAGCGCCACGGCAGTCCTCGTCGTACCAGCTGTTTTTGCGACCATTATGAAACCAATAGTTTCGTTTGCAGCTGTACTTAGGGATATGCTTGAAATGCCGTCCCACAGTTCCCTTATGCCAGGTTGGAGATTAGTGCTCTCAAAGAGCAGGTGTGCAAGTCGAGTAGAAAACCGCTCGGCAGTCTGCTGTAATTGCAGCTGTTCAACGTCGAACCTTCCTGGTGTTTGCTGAGGGGCGTTCTTCGATACACAGAGGCGGGTGCATCGATATTAGGACCTCGAAACGTATGCACGCCTAATACGCTGGATGAATGTCTTACGTCAATCACAACATGATCGATTTGGTTGAGAGTTTTTCGATCTGTAGACAGCTAAGGAGCTTGGTGAATTTTTTTGTGCTAGAATCTAGTGCTACAAACAACCATATTTCGGTCCCCGGCGAAGTCGTTCAGTCTCAGCCCATTTGGAGATATTTCGTAGTGAAGGCTTAATTTTCGGACTTTTGTCCCAAAAATACCTTCTTTGTCTAATCTACCGTTGAAGTCTCCAAACACAATTTGGTAAAAGGTCACAACGTCCTTCTCTTGCGTCGGCGCGTAGACGCAAATCAGCGAGGTGTTAACAAATTTTATTTTGAATCAGATTGTGGCGATACGTTCATCAACCGGAGTGAATGCCAGTACTCGGCGACGTAGTCTCTCTCCCACCACGAGTCCGACATGAAATTTGCCCTCCTTTATGTGACCGCTGTAGTAAATTTCACAAGGGTCCATATTGTACCGTCATTGCTCCGTCTATCGCATCTCTTGGACGGCGGTGGTGTCAGCCTATACTTTTACGAGCATCAACCAGCTGGGCACCTTCCCGCTCCCAGGTGAATGGCAGTTAAAAACTTTCCTCACTTGAATGAGCTTCTACACATGGCTCCATCCCCCAAATATTCACATATTATTATATACAAGGTTATACGTTTTGCGGTTTCGAACCTTAACGTAAATTTGCACATATTAGGCGCAATTTCAGCCATAACTTACCTGAACAGTGACTTTCCTACTTCGATGTCGGTCGAGAACCGCTCAAGAGACTGGTTGATTTATTGGATTTGCACTCTTCTCAAAACAAGTTAACATAAGCTCCACATAAAAAAGTGAAGAAAAAACTTATTTTCAGTTTTGAGAAGATCCTTGTCCGAAACGGCTTCAGTTTGGCATTCACATACCCAAAATAATGAAAGTTCGCTCTGTTATGTAGGCGTTGTGACTTCCCTCAATTTCCTGCTATTTCCTCCAAAATACTCACAGTAGCACATTCACGACTTTGTCTCTGCTGAGAGCAACTTCCGCATTATATCACCAAGATCCAATGCAACTCTGTTACGAAATTCCCCTACAACTTAACAAAGTGCGCGACATATGTAATTCTAAATCATTACAAAAGTATTTAAGTTTTATGAAGTATATACACATATATATACATATATAAATGTATGTATGAGTAGCAAAGAAATGAGCAATGCTGCAACAACAAATAGTATAAATTGCACTTTTGGACGCCAACGCGAGCGTCAACGACGCGGGGCGTGCAAGTTTTGTAACGTCGAAAAGTTGGTGTTAGTTTTTGTGTTTTCGCGTTGCTAGCGGCGTTTCCGCGCCATATCGCGTGAATGTTGCCGCCCGCCTTGTTGCTGTCGCAAGTATTATTGTTGGCGGGTTGTTGTTACTCTTACTAAGTTGTGTTCGAGCAGTTTGTTTTGAACGCGTGCAGCAGATATGCGTTGGTACTTTTCAAACTTGCTCTACTTTCAGTTCAGTTTAGTTCTACTTGTTGTTGTTATTGCTATGCGGTATGTTCGTAAATTAGCGTGCGTGTCTTGTATGTTGTGACAATTCCGCCGCAACAGCTGTGTGCGCGCGCGTGGGTGTGTAGATTTCGGTGTTTCTGGTCATGTTTTTGGCCATGTTTGGCAATCTGTTGCAATCCACTTACTGCAATCTACTATGTTGGTGGCGAGAATAAGTATTATTTATGTGGCAAGTTGTTACTCTACGCCTGCGTATTTATGTGGCGTAAGCGTGTAATTGTTTTGTTGTTGCTGTTTTCTCGTTTTATAATTTATGCTCGTAACTCAAGTAAAAAGTTATTATTTATTTCTATTAAGATATGCATTTCAGTTGAGGAAATTTTGAGAAAACTTGCAATGGAGCTGTTTCCTCGTTGCGCAATGTATTTTTAACGGATGTTGGCATTCGATTTGCATTTCCTTGAAAGTAATTTATAGGGGAGATGTCAAGAAAAATATTTACAACATGCAAATACAACTTTATTTAAAATAAATTCAAATTCATTCACCAATTTATGCTGAGCGGCTTGATGTTTTTACATAAAATGGAGAGAGCTACACTTTATTCGAAGCCACCTCCGAATGGAACGGTAGATTTTTATGGGGAACCTTTACTTCATGTCAGAAACAGATTCGGAGGAGACATTCCCTGCAAGGAGCGACCGTTACTAAAAAAAATAAATAAATTCCTTTTCTTTAAATTAATTTCAACATTAGCAAATCGTGAAAATTTATTACCAAAATAATAGCTCGGTTCTATCTACCCATCGCGCGCAGCGTCCAATATGCGGTCGACAGAGTCGGTGTTCGAGCAAATCTATACCGGCTCTGCTAGGCGATTGAATCGTTTCACACCAAGTTTACTCAGAGTTATTCCAAAAAACGCTCCGAAAGCGATATTGCTGCTTGGAGAATTGGAGCTGTGTCTATCCACTTTATGGTAAATTTTGCGAGAGGATCTTGGTTTGTGAGCTTATGAAATCCACCTAGTGTAAAAATCGATGCGGAATGACTATCAAGTGCATCGGACGTCCGTTGAATGGAACCAAAACGAAATGGCCCACCAGCCCAATTTTCACAAGAAATTTTCGTTTAGCTGTGAAACGCACTTTTGGTTGAATGGGCACGTTCAATAGTCCCATTTGGAGTGATGATAATCCCCATCCCATTATTGCGACGCCGTTTTATCTTGGCTTTCTCTATGCGTAGAGGGAATCATCGGTACATACGTGTATATCTTTAAAAATAAAGTCGACTATAATGCCACAGTCAATGGAGAATGCTATAGAGCCATTTTTAAAGAATGCCTAAATTGGAGAATATTGAAGTGGACAGCTTCTGGTTCCAACAAAACGAAAAAATAAATTTATTGCAAGAAACTTTTGGTGAGTGCATTATCTCGCGTCTTGGGCCTTTGGCGTGGCCCTCAAGATCGTCCGATATAACGCCTCTGGACTATTGTTTGTGGGGCTATGTGAAGTCGGTTGTGTACGCAGAAAAGCCTGAGACGGTTTACGCTTTTGCCACTGCCCTATGGCTTCCCGAAATGGTCGTTAATGGGCCTCCAGCTGGAATCATTATAAAAACATTATAGCAAACCTTATCCGTACAATAAAGCTTAACTTTTGGCCATGACATTAAAGAATATGGGCGTTTTTTCTTCTTGAGACCCGCATATCTGAAGGAAGACTCTTTATGAATTCAGCCAAGTTAACTTCAGCGTTTACTGATTCTTCTTAAAAGTAGGCACAGCCTACGCCTTTACAGACAAGTTTACAATAGCAGGTTATTTGTACAGTGAGTTGCGAGAAATCAAGTGAGACCAGGAATTCCAGCAGAAATTGCTTGCACATCAATGCATTTTGCGCCCTAACTCGTAGCATAGCTGCTTCGTTTTGCGAATCAAGCTCTGGCGACATCAGAAGATTCCCTGTCACGGTCGTGTGGGTGGTATTTTCTCAGGCTTTCAGTTTCTTCATCTTCATACTGGTGCAGCATAGCTTCTGACCGGCCGGCCAATTGTCTTGTAGGTTGACATAATCGTTTCATTGCCTTTTCCCCAGTGGCCGCCGTCTTACGATTTGATGATTTTGTTGGTGTCTCAGGACAACTGCAGGCGTATGCAGAATGAAGGAGTAATCGGAATTTTAACGCCATCAACTTTCACATGGAGCTCACGCTCGTACTTCTCCAATTGGAGTCTTGCAGTGAAGTAGTGGCAAAGGTTGTCGAGATAGCAGTCCACTTTGGAACACAAGTCATCAATATCTTGGACAGACGCCAATATCGAGCAATTATCGGCATATGAGACCAGTGAAACACCTTTCGGTGGAGTAGGTATATAAACGTTAAGCAGTAGTGGGGTGAGGATACCAGTCTGTGGAATCGCTTGTTAAATAATTCTGTAGTTCGATGTTTGACCTCGGAACTCTACCGATGATTGACGACCATTCAGGTAGCCCGTGGGACACCGCTTCAACCAACGGTGGTAAAGAGGATTAATCAATGGCCGTTAGTAGCACTGAATAGGTGAGCTTGCTAAAAGCTTTGGGCATATTCAGTGCTACTATCCAATGGCTATCGCTCTGGTAACATTAGTACTCAAAACTAGTCTTTTGTTGTGCTAACGAATTTCTGATTATTATTGTAATTGCATTTCAGAGAACTTCCATTGACGATATTTCGCAAAAGCCCAAATTAAAATTGGCAACGTTGCATGAGTATGAAAAAGCCGATCTACTAGTCGGAATAATTTTGATTTACATTTCTTATAATTATTTTAAGCTTTAAATATTAGATTTCATTTTAAAGTCCTCCACTATTTATGCCAAGAAAATTGGCAACATTGCACAAGTGAAAATGAGAGCCAAATTTTCAGCTTAAAATAGATGGCTTATAGAAAATTGGCAGCACTGCGTAATGAAAACAATGGAATAAAACAAATTAAACCACTATTTATGCTTTGACAAATATGCAATAAAAATTTAAAAAACCCAAACGTTTAATACTTTGTTGTGAAAATTTCAAAATTAAAAACTTTACCCTTTCAACTCCTTTAAAGCACTCAAAATGGCATTGAAGCAAAAATCTCCGCCATGCCTAATCCCGCTCTTCTGCCAAATTAAATAATTCACAGTTCATGATACTTGTCATTTTCACATCATTTCGTGTCGATTGTGTCTACACTTGGCTGGTTTTGTGATGAACATATGAGCTTAGCGGAATGAAGGCATCTGGGGTTGCTAAAGGATATACAGCTCGAGCAGAGCGGGTGCGAGTAATGGGAGAACAGAGAGAGGATATAAATAAGACGAATGCAAACCAACTCAAAGAAAAGAAAATGAAAACAAAAAGGAAAATACAATAACAAGGGGTTCACATGTGCTGTTGGAATTCACGGTTCGGCTGAGTGCTTTCGGCGTTGTTTCCCGTTCTCATACCCGTACTTTAGCGTGAAGTTGCTCTTGCGTTTCTTGACTTGGCTTTATTCCCCATGGCGACAATACTCTTATGTTTTCATATTCGTTTCTTTATTATTCAATATATACAAATGCAAATATATGTATTTATATATATATGTATATATATATATATATATGTATGTTTTCTTCCTATGTTTAGTTTGCCGCCACAAATGTTGTTATCTTTATTGTTCTTACAATGTGTGTTTACTGCTTACCCCATTTTTGCCGTAGCAAAAATCTGTATGTATACATATATCCATATATTCATGTGTGTATGTGTTTGTGTGCGTGCGTGTGTGTGTGCTTCACATGGATTTTATTTATCTTCAGCGGTGTCTAAGAAAACTCGGGACTCGTGTTTGTTTACTCAACTAGAAATGAAATCAGCGTGAATACAAAGAATATGCCAAAAGCGTTTACAAGCAAATATACATACTACTTTTAACACATGCGTACATACATATGTGCCCGACTTTACCTTGCTGTCGCTACCACAACAAAAACTAAAGAAATAAAAAAAAAAAAAAATAAAAAATCAACAAGAAAAGCCATGGATGTTAGCGTTTGAGCCTTGAAAAGGTGGAAACTCGAGTGTCTTAAAAGTATTATGCAAGCAAAAATGGATTTTCAAGGAGCGCGTAAAAGCAGGAAAAATGTAAAACAAAAATGCTTGTCCTTAATAATACATATGTACATACATATGTATGTGTGTATGTTTGTATAGGAAAGTGTTTAAATGCACAGGTTGCTCCTTTAAAATCAAACAATAACATACTCTGATGACCAGGGTAGGTGTGTTAGTATTCATATTTTTTCTGCTTTTCTGCTGCTTTGGCTGCACTTGCTTTTGTCTGCGCTGAAAAATATACCTCGTTTTTGCTGCTCTTGCTGAATTTTGCTGCATTTTGTACATCATTTGTATGGCTTTTTATTTAAATATTGCCATGCATATATTTAGGTAGATATATAGATATGTATGTATGCGCAAATTGTTTTTATGTTCTTCATGTGTCATGAATGTGGTTGCCACAAATCATAATCAAACACTCAATAAACTTTTTCTACTTTCCGAGATGTCAGGCTTTTCACGCCACAAATAATTTCACCCTTCGACATTGTTTCTTTTGTGCAAAATCCATATTGTGCTTGCGAGACTTTAATTTCAACTCAAGGTTATTTAATTCAGGCGTCGACTTGCTCTCCTGCTCTCCGGAAACACTCATCAGCAAAGAAGTGATTTAATAGCTGATGTCCAGAGTATATTGAATATATTGGGGGAACACTTCTGCAGCTTGCTGAATGGTAGTAAAAGTGCAAAACCAGGAGATGGGGAACACGATTTCCCAATCGATGACGATAGAACAAATGTATCACTGCCTGATTTGTTTCTTCCGGTTTCTCGAGTAGCAATCGTCCGCTTAAAAAACAACAAATCGACGGGCCGATGAATTACCGGAGCTATTCCAATATGGCGGTGAGGAGCTGATAAGATGATTGCTTCGGCTGCTTTGCAGAATTTCGTCGGACAAAAGCCCTCCGACGATTGGAATTAAGTGGGCTAAGCACCCTTAATATGGCATGTAAGGTCCTGTCGAGCGTATTGTGTCAGATACTGAAGCCCACCGCCAACCAACTGATTGGACCTTATTAGCTTGTGGCTTTAGACCTGGTAAGTCAACCATTTACCGGATATTCACCATGCGTCAAATCTTGGAAAAGACCCGTGAAAGGAGGATCGGCACACATTATCTCGTTTTCGTTTTTAACAGCCCTCGACAGTACGAAAAGGAGCTGGCTTTTCGCCGCCATGTCTGAGTTTTGTATTTCCGCAAACTTATATGGCTATGTAAACTGACCTTAGATAACACTAAAAACTCCGTCAGGATCGGGAAGGATCCCACCGAGGCGTTCGATACCAAGCAAGATTTCAAACAGTAGTACAAGCTAGAGAAGGTGCAATCTTCTATAAGAGTGTAAAGATGCTGGCGTACGCCAATGATATTGGCATTATTGGTCTCCAGACTGAATAAACAAGCGAAGCAAATGGATCTGGTAGTGAAATAGAGGAATACGAAATTTCTCCTGTCAGCAAACAAACAGTCATCGCATTCGTGACTCGGCGCCCACGTAACTGTTGGCATTGTCCGATATGCTTTACGTGGGTACCTGCTGACGTCGGATCCAATCAATGCGTTGATCAGAGCCTCGTAATGCATGCATTGTGGCACCAATTGGCAGTGTGGAGTGGACACACTAACCTCCTTGGTAGGGTTTGAGGCCTATCTTTTCCAGGGGAATGTTTTGCGTAAGATTTACGACCTTCTACGAGTTTGGAATAGCGAATATCGTAGACGATGGAACGATGAGCTGTACGAGTTATACGGCGACATTGACCGAGTTCAGCAAATCAAGAGACAGCGGCGACGCATGCTAGGTCATGTGGTCCGGATGGATAAGAATATTCCAGCTTTTAAAGTATTCGATGCGCTACCCGCCGTCGGAGGCAGTAGAAGAGGAAGACCTCCACTCATTTGGAAAGATCAAGTAGAGAAAGACCTGTCTTTATGTTTTCAATATGTTTTTTCCAGCTAAGTTTTTTTTATCAGGGTTACATGGATACTCTTAAACGAGTTTCAGAGTGTGTTGAATTAGTGAGGCTAGGTGTTTCGCTCAGCCCTTGCTGCTGGGACTTAGAGAAATCAAAGTGAACTGTGAAAGATTGTACATTGCTCAACTTATGCTTCAAAAAAGCAAGTAACTTCTAATTGATCCCGAACGAGGTAGGTAACGAGAACCTTACGGTGATGTTTGGTCCTTTTACGAACAGGTCTGACTAATTTTTCAACAGGGTAGAACAGATTTCACTGTTTTGCTCGATAGCTTTTAATAATTTTCAAGATAATGCCTAACTCATGGAAACTCTTTTGCCTATTCGCAAAAAACTCGGACAAGACATTCTCGCAGGCGTCCCTTGAGCCCAATTCCTTACCAGCGAAATTATTCGCAATAGAGATGAACTGACTGTAATCAGTTGATGGTTCGGAGGCAGGGATTATAAAGTGGATGCATAAAAACCTTCCAACGGAGCTCTCGAATCTACTGGCAAGTCATTATCGATGTGTGTGGTCTGACGTTATTTTGATAATATACATTTCTCCTCCTGTTGGTCAAACCTGAACGCTTCTGAGCGATTGCTTCTTTCAGACGGCCCAAATTTTCAGAGTAAAAGCCCGGACTAAGAGTTTGGCAGCAGGTGAGTAGTCCATATTTGATGATTCGTTGCCAATCCCACCAAATACACAACTTTACCTACGGCCTAGCTCCGAGCTAGGAGCCTCTTTTTGTCGGCTCAATGCCTTTCGGCCACGACCGCGTCCATTTGACTGTTTGTTTTTGTGCAATCTTTAGCTCTTGGGCAATGGAATCAGTACTCGAATAACGGTCAGATTCAACGATTTTCATTATTTATATTGATATTATCGACAATTGACCTTCCAAACTGTAGAGAATTTTTTAAATCAAATTTACCGGTACGAAATCGATGAAACCAAGTCAGCGCATGATTTACCGTTACAGTATCAGTATCATAAACACTATTCACATTTTCAACTCGCTGACCTCTCGTTTTCGCCTTTATCGAAGAAAGGTTTTAGAATATAGCGTATTCTCTCTTTGCTGTTCTTCGGCATGCGTTCAAACATTCCCGAGTTTAGTGATCAACACTTCTCCCATAACCTTTTTAGTACTAAATATCATCTCGCTAACGCCATGTAGCGCAATCACTTATAGATACGGTTTCCTAGAGCCATCTATTGCAACAGTAATGAACTCAAATACATACATAAACTGGCAGTATAATATATTGGTATATTAGTAAAAGGAAATCCATTATAATCGTTATTTATCTGTTTCTCGCGTTGTATAAGTCCGCTAGAGGGCGGTAGAAAGTTGAAATTTCGTATTAAAAAGCTTTTCTGACAGTTTTGTGAATAGTTTATTCAGTTTTATTTGAGCGCGAGTCAGAGATGGTCACCAGCAAAGAAAAAATATGCTATATTTTACAGTTTTCCTTCGGCAAGGGCGAAAAAGCAAGTCAGGCGGCTGGAAATGTGAATAATGTTTAGGGTCCTAATTCGGTTTCATTCCGGTAATTTCGATGTTGAAGATGCTGCACGGAGTAGAAGACCAATTGTCGAAAATGTCGGAAAAAATAATGGACA